GTCAGCCACCCAATTTTTAGTACTTTCTTGTGGTAGCCCTAAGAAATGAATACAGGGAGGAAACGAGAAGTCTACTTAGGAAGCATTCTGGCCCCACTGGCCACTTTTAATAAGAGTCATCCAGTCCCCAAGGCCTTGAGGAGACCTTCCCAAACTTGTCATCAGTGATGTTCCTTATGTCCCCACGTAGTGAAGCCCCACAGACTGAAATGCGAGAATGTTCTAGAGGCCTTTAAAGTGATGTGGGCCCTTTAACACAATTGGAATGTTGTGCTGGACGGAGCAGAATTTGCGGGGGGCGGTCTGCACTCTTTCAGTATCACTCGGGCTGATGTTTTCTACTTTTCTTCTTTTGGTCTGATGACAACAAGAGATAGACACTCAAGAAATTAGTTGATGGTATTAACCGACTCTCCTGCAGGAGCCTTTGGGGAAAAGATACCAGCGCCTCCAGGCTCCCGTTCATGGCAGGAGGGATTCAGTCAGTGAAATTACGTTTCCTGTAAGCACAGAAGATAAACTTCTACAAGCCCATCTCTTGCTTCCACACACACATGGGAGCCCTGAGAAATGTCAGGCAGAGGGCGCCTGGTGGCTCAGTCGATTAAGCGTCTGCCTTCGGCTCAGGTCATGATCTCAGGGTCCTGGGATGGAGCCCCGCATTGGGCTCCCTCCTCAGTGGGGAGTCTGATTCTCCCTCTCCTTCTGCCCTTCCCGCCCCGCTTGTGCACTCTCTCTCTCATATAAATAAAATCTTTAAAAAAATAGAATTAGCTGTTTATTAAAAGGAAAAAAAAATGTCGGGCAGAAACTAGAATTCCCAGTTGGGCTGTGGCTGGAGCTGGAAATGGCCAATAATTATAATTGCCTTCCTGCTGAGATCTCTCAGGGGACATATCACTGCTCCCCATCTCAGGGTCTGGGCTTCCACCAAGGGCCAGGAAACACAGCTCAGAAGGTGGCAGAGAAGACAAGGCCCTGTCACACACCTGGGCAGCAAGACAGACATCTGCCGTTTCCTCAAGCTGACCACTTAACCACCATAGTTTTGTTTTTTTTTTTTCTGATGGTTGCTGACATTTGCCTTGGTAACTTTCAATTCTAGCTCTTCCTTTGATCATGTCCCTAATGTGATAACTGAATAACGACCCTCCTAAGCCCTGGATCCTGTACATATGTTAAGTTACTTGACAAAAGGAACTTGGCAGATGGAATGAACACTGACTGCTAATCAGTTGACCTTTAAGTAAGGAGGTTATATGGATTGTTGGATGGGTCCATTGGAATCTCAAGTGTTCATAAAAGTAGAACACAGCTGGTGGTTAGAGATCAGAGAAGGGAGACAGAGGAAGTGTTTGAGGTGTGGGAGAGATTTGACTTGCCATTGCTGATTTTGAGGATGGACGAAAGAGGTCATAAGCCAGGACATGTAAAAAGACTCTAGAATCTGGGAATAGCCCTCAACTGACAGCCAACAAGAAAGTGGGTTGCAAGTCCTACAACTGCATGAAACGGAACTCCACAACAATCTGAATGAGCAAGAATATGGACTTCCCTCCCGGAGCCTCCAAGAAGGAACACAGGCTGATATATTGATTTGGGCCTTATGAAAAGCTAAGCAGAGACCCAGTCAAACCTGCCAGTCTTCTGACCTAAGAAGACTGAGATGATGAATTTGTGTTGTTTTAAGGCACTAAGATGGTGGCAATTTATTATAGCAGCAATAAGAAACTAATACACCTAACCAATCTGGTTCCCTCAGGAAGTAAAACCAAGTTTCTCCTGTGGATGATGAAGTAGATAACCTAAACTTTTCTCTCTCCACTCACCTCCCTTTACATTGCAGAGTATGATCCTCTTTACTGCTAACTAGCCCAGCAACAAAGCCTTGTTGCTGGAAAAGTTTTTCAGCCTCAGTTTCTTTCATGTTGTTCCAACAAAACCCAAGCCTGTTCACTTAAAGAAAACTGCATGGGGGGGGGGGAAAAAGCTACCTAATGTCTACTTGCCTAATGAGCAAACCTCCTAATCATATCGTCTCCTAAAATTTGTACTCACCAGGTTTACCTTTTATATTTATTTGATTGGAGTCTCTTAGCCCCTTTTGAGATTTTTGTTTGCACTCTTTAGGGATTTCTTTTTCACTTTGTTTACTCCTGAATATTGC